TATAAAATTAAATAATTTAATTATAATAGCTTTATTTATTATATTTATAATAGGTTTATTAATTAAATAAAAGGTAAAAAATAAAGTTTAATATATTTTTAATATTATTATAATAAAAAAGAAAAGTTAAAAAGGAAAATATATAATAATTTAAAACTATAATTTTTATAATTAATTAAAAGAAAATATAAAAGTTTAAAAAGCTTTATAAGGTTTTTAAAGGTTAATTTATAACTATTTTAAAATAAAGTTATTAAGTTTAATAATTTAATATAATATAAATTAATAATAAAATAAATAAAAAAATATATATATTATTTTATAAAAAGAATTAAAATATAATATAAAATAAATAATATATTTTTTTTAAAAACTTAAAACTTATAAATTATAGGTTATTTATAATTTATACTTTAATAAAAATATTAATTATTAAAAGAAATAATTATAGGAATATATATAAATAATATAAAAATAAAGGGGGAAAAAAGGATACTTATATTTATATAAAATAATAAATATATAATATATTATAACTATTATATATTATAATATTTTAATTTTAAAAGCTTTATATTATAAATAATAATTTAAAAATAATATTAATAGGATTTTTACCTTTTATAGTATTTTATTTTAAAGAATTTAATATTATTTTTAATTATAATTTTAATAGCTATAAATAATTTAACTTTTAAAAAGTTTTACTTTATTTATTTTATTTTAATAAATATCCTTTAAAATATTACTTTTATACTATTTAATATAATTATATAACTTACTTTAAAGGGAGCTACCCTTTAAAGGGAATTAATTAAAATTTATAGCATTAATTAGTATAAAGATCGAAAGGGAGTGTTAGAAAGGGAAGGCGGTAATACTTGCGTTTTACATATTGGAATACTGGGAATCTATATATAAGACCTTTATCTAGCCAGATAACTGTATTGTAACTTAAACTTCTAGATAATCTAATGGAATTATATGTACTACTCTTGACATGTTGGTGAGGGGGTGGACGGGCGCGGGGACAGCTGACAGCCTACTTGGGTAAGAGGTATATAGAGTGAGCGAGCAGAGCAAAGTAGAACCCCCCATTCTTGACATCTCTCAACTGCCCATATAGCTGTGTTCCACTTCCAAGAAACAGTCATGGCATCTCCCAAAGCGAGCCCCAGGATCGTCGAGCTAGCTGCCAAGATTAGTGCTTCCGTTGCGGAGTTGCAAGAGCTATTGTCAGCCCAGGGAGTGCCCTCACCGTCCTTTGATGAGGATTCCCCAGAACGTCTGCCTCCTAGCGCATTTCATCTGCAAGATGCTGTTCTTGACGCGACGGCCGAGTTCCATGAGTTACTAATGCACCCAATCCCGCTCACGTTCAAGTACATCAATGACCGTGAGGTGAGTTTGCTAGTGAATAATTATTAGGTGAAAGGTAGGTGCTTACCATAGGGCGAAGAATCACTCACATCGGGACCGCAGATCTCGATCTTCAGAATGTCTTGACTGAAAGCCTCACGACCAATATCCAGGTCATCTACATCCGCTCGGATTCTCATAACATCATTTGCCTGGCTCAAATATTAGTTCGGTCATTATCTTCAAGAAATTTCTTTTTTTTTTTTACTAACCTCTGCAAAGATGACAGCAAGCTTATCGTTGTCGAGAGTTGGTAAATCACGGCGGAAGGCGAGCAGTTCGGCCTTCAGAGCCTCGTCTACATCAGGTCGGGGAATAATGGAAATCGATACGCCCTCCTTAACCTCCCTCCGACAGGTGATCTGGGTTGCATATCGCGTACACAACTTTGCGCCACGAGGAAAGGCGAATCCTGTCAAGCTCTCCAAAACGGAGCTTTTCCCGGAGGACTGGTCACCAACGACGACAAGCTGCGGCGAAGTTAGCAAATCACAATGTAAATAAGATTAATTGATGGTATGAGACACACCTGAGGCAGAGGAATGATTGCGCCAACATTCAACTCTCGCAGTTTGTCAATCTTGGTGAGAACCGCCTGGTTTCCCAAACCAGATTCCATCGTGGTCATGACTGTAGAATGGCTGTGGACTGTTTCCGTATGGTAATAGTTTGAATGCTTTCGATCCTGACGGTGAAAGACTTGTCGGCTGACTTCAGATATGGTGGCCAGGCTGTGATTTATAAGATATCTAGAATGTAAATTCGTCCCTCTCAGACTTTGTGATGTATTAGCCATGGAAAGTCTCACCCACTGCATGATGTCAGGCTATAATGAGTCATAGTGCAGACGCGTCTGCGCTGAACAGGCACGTTCTGTTTGAAGGTTCCCGACTCGCCGTTTAGAGACACTCAATCAGTGGAGATTTTCTCACTCCGATCGTCTGATGGGATGCAAGAAGGGTAAATGCAGATGGGGACTGAAGACTCTCATGTTCCACGATGGCCATTCCGTCAGCCGATATGACACGGATCATGATTGTAGAAAACCCTCACAATTTTCTATGCCAAGCGTTGCAAACGAGTATTCACTACCGTGTCTAGCTTGTGGAGCCATACTGAAACCCTCAGCTGAAAAGTTTGCTGACCGTCATTTCGTATCTGCGATTGTGTTTGTTCCAATATCAGCGCTGCTCCCTAGGATCAAGGCAGATGGGAAGCAAGTTCCATGTTATCTGCCTTTGAGCATTCGTTGCATGTAGCTTTCCGACTGGGCTGATCCTAGAAGCTCGCTGTGTATAGCCGTGGCCTAGCTATGAAGGTTTTGGGGCCTTCGTGCAACAACAAACGAATTGCTGTTCTCACACCGGCAGGTCTACTGGATCCAAGTGAGTCAACTGGTCATTGGGGAACAAGTTTTCTGTAGAGAATCTCAGTACTCTGAAGAGCATATTCGCTTGTTGCTTATTTCCTTTCGTTTCAGCTTACATCCAAGTATAGTAGCATAAAATAAGATGGCTTTTAATGCACCAGCGTAGGGCGTGTCTAGAACCATCTCATTGCAGATCTTTGAGCTTCTCTGCATCGATTATGACTGTGCCCGTTGGGACTCCATTACACAAATGGCCGTCGTGCTAAAAGCTCTATGACAGCTCATATCCGATTCGCCTTTCAGAGTTCCATCTTTTTGCAGCCGTACTGCATGCTTCCTTCCCCGCGCCTCCATGTTAAAGACGGTGTGACTACGCTAATGGTGGAAGAGACAGACATATCGACTTGGCCAATACCAAGACCAGGGAAGTATCCGGCTCGGCAACAATATCTCCAATAGGTAATCGCATAACGTATCCTAAAAGGCATCTTCGCTGAATTGCATCAAGCAGCACCCGGTTAGATGCTGAAGGTAATTTCCAGATAAATTTGCTTTCAACTAGCGAAGCGTGGGGGCGGGGGCGGGGGCGGGGGCGGGGAAAGGCATACCGGTATCACATGCATGTACTCTGTCCTCTTGAGGCACTCTTTAACATAGTCACATAGTATTTGAGACATGGCAGAACGCTCAACCATATTTCGTTTGATGATTTGGATCAGGCTGCCTTTGAAGGCGCGTTTGACTTGTGATATTTTGTCCCATGTAGCTACTACTAGATCCGATCCCGCAGACCCAGAGACTAGAGGACCCATATCTGCAGTGCAAGCCCCTTTTGTGGCAGTTCGGACTACGTACCGTGTGCCAACCTCCCACCTTCAAAATCCAAGTATGGATGTGCTCCTTTTACTGCCACTGTGTGCTGGTCTTAGAGGTGATGAATCGGACAAGGCGACATATGCACGCCAACTTGCCGTGTTGCGCTGAAAACATGAAGTTTTTGGGCATGCAAACGGAGTGTGATGTCGTGTAATGGACGCGTGTTGTCCTGATTACTAACATCTTTACAGCCAAGGCATTTAGCGTTTGTGCCATTGCTTAACATTGAGTTTATCCTGACACAGCCGTTGGTTATCCAAATCTGTCTTGGGGCTTTGTATCATATTATCAGTGAGGCAGCAGTATCGGATCCCTACATTGCTTATTTTGCTCTACTCATTTTCTGATTCAAACGAAAGTGTATTTGAGCTGGTACCTTCGATAATTAATGGCTCACTTGGAATGTCCAGCCAGGATATCATACTCTCGGGTATTCTTCCATTTGTGTACGCTGCCGATCCTCGACAGTGTAGTGTTCAGGCCGGCATCGAGGAAGGTTCTGGAATAGCAAGCTAAAAGCATGTATTCGGAGAAACTTAATGAGACGGAAACATTTTCTTTCTTTTCACCGGTGCTAAATGAGACGCATTTCTAGCCCGTGCTGGACACCTACGGTCTGTCCCAGTTCGTCTCCAGTTAGCCTTCTAGCCAAACGGGTGCTTTCCTTTGTCGCTCGCCTCCTTGTGCTAGGACCCGAGTGGTAGTAGATCTAGCAAAATAATCGAAGCCAGGAGAATTGGTTTCGTAAATATACTGGCCGAGAGAGACTTCAGTAGGCTAGGCAGCGACGGCTGCAAGTCTAGTTCCAACTTCCAGGCTATTCAAAGTATAAGTACCCTTCAGTGTTACTCCGTTGGAACTACCCCCAACAATCATTGGCACTTGATATTCCAACACTTGGCCCTTCTTACCCAATCTTGGATACTCTCAGATACACCTTTCTACTATTTTCCCTTTCCTTTATTGTTCACCTTGGTGACTTTCTACAGAGCAACATTGAAGATGAGCATCAATCCTCGAAACTGTGCAAGTGCGAGTCGAAGCATCTCGCCACCCTCGTGGTCTATGATAAACGAGTTCGACATAGATGAAGAAGCCTCGATGACGGGCGAAAGCTCTGTTCGCAATGGAGAACTTGACACAGAAACTGCTGCCATCGAGGGGTGCAATAAGAGTCTAGCCAGCCCTCCTATCGGAAAGCGGCCTGAGAATTGGACCATGGCTGTCTCTATGGGCTTGAAGATTCTCGTAGCGGAAGCTAAGGGGATGGCATCGAAGCCGGTGATCAAATACATAAAGAGATAGTATGCTCCCGCCCTGTCGAACAAGATATAAGTACACTACTAACTTTTACTCTCAGTCTGAACGGGACTAAGCTTATATTTGTTGTCGGCCAGTCTGGGACGGGGAAATCTACTTTTCTCCGTGAAATTAGTGGCATGGATCTTCAAATTGGGAAGACTAGAAACTCAGGTTTGTATTGACTTCCCTACTTACTCAACCTAGGTAGCTGACTTGAGCTGTTGAAGGGACAAAGAATTACGAAGTTTGCCCTGCCGTCATTGACGGTGAGCAATATTTGTTCATTGATACTCCGGGCTTTGGTGCTGCCGATATGGATGATATGGATTGCTTCTGCGACATCATCGCGTGTCTAGAAGTCCTAGGTCCTTTCGTTACTGTCGCTGGCCTGATCTTTGTGACTGGTGGTAACCAGGAGAGGCTGACTCAACAAGAACTGAAGACCATACACTGGATCAAATGTTTCTGTGGCCCCCAGTTTTATAGATACATTACTATCATGACAAGCAAGTGGGATAAGATCAGCGAGGATGACTTTGAGGAGGGGTGGAACAGCATGCTCAGCATGTTGGAAATGAATCCAAGCTTTGCCGAGATCCTCAATCCCCCAGTGACTTCTAGGCACACCTCGAACCACGATTTTGAGGGTGGCCGTGTCTACCACCATGGCATTGTTGTGAACAAGGACCATCCGAGCGTTCCATTGAATCGTCTCAGCCTCCGCCACCATGGAAAAGAAAGAGCAGATATAGCTGTCACCATGATCAGGAATCACTACAAAACGGCCCCAGGCGTGAAGCTTCAGATAATCCATGAGATGGGCAACAACATCTCTTGGTACAATACAGAGGCCGCAAAGGTTCTTAAGCACAATCCAAATGACATCAAGCTCCACGTCCACAACGATATTCTTCAAGTCTTTGCGAGGAGCGAGGGGCATAATCTCACTGACCAAAGTGGGCATGACTCGCTCCAGTCGGCTGCTAGCACTCAAAATCTCACAAGCCAGCTTCCATGTGCCGGAGTATCGAAGGCAGGGACGCAATGTTGTCAGCCGGCGTTGGATAATCAGCTGAAGGAGGCTGGGGAGCAGAACCAGCCGTGGCTTAGTAAGGTTGGGACCTGGCTGAGAATCGCAAGGGACGTAGCCCTGTTCTTTTTTCCAAGAGTCGCAGGCCGCGGGTAAAGTCATATAGCAAGCGACGGGCCAGTCCTAGGGGAGTACCAGGAATTCGCACTCGAGGGCTTTGGATTGTTGACGCGATAGTACAACATAGTCGTTTAGGAGCTAGCAATATTACGGGAAGGCGATAGGTATTTACAGGCTGTGCCCTTCTCGAGGAGGAAATACAGCTTAGGCAATGAACTGTCGTGATTTTAATCTCCGAAAGAAAAGCAATAGTAACGTGAGCATCAATCCTGCCGCGGTCCATCAGTGGAAGAATATCACGGGCAACGGCACCCTGCCCAGGCGCATGATGTGGATTCTGCTTGACTGCAACGATGCCCATACGAACAGCAAGAAGATGCAGGAATCTCTAAGAGAGCTAGAGAAAGAATGTATAGATCAGGGTGTTGAGAAGTAACGAGTGAAATTACTATATGATAATCATGCGGAGACTTTGTCCATTCTTATGTCACTCATGTTCTCAATCATCTGATAACTACCCTTCCCGCTAATTGACTGTGCCTTTTTGAGGGAGGCGCTGTTAAATGTATCAATTCCTCCGAAACGGATATTTTCCATATTATTGCCAGTCCTGGGGGAATATCAGTCCTTGTGATGTCTCCTATCACGCAAGAGTAGGCGCATTTTTGGAATGTCAGGCAGAAAGAATGTGTAGGATTTGTACTCCACATTGTAGCCAAAAGGGATCGAGAGCTACCCTGGACAATGCCATTATGCGGTCATCGCGCTCGCGCACTAAAGCATCCTCGGCCCCGCCGATCAAGCTGCCCCTCACTAAACCTACCTTGTACTAGTGGCTCGGCAATCGAAACGCAAGATCTAGGTACTCGGTAGGGTGAAGCTCTGGCGAAGACATGGGAAGCCTTCATTCGCAAGGGACTATGACAAGAGCTCTTATAGAGGGCATGGAACTTAGTCATATTCCATAATGATCTACTAGGGATCTCTAGGGCCTTGGTTTCTCTCCTTCTTTAAAGTGGGAGAATCCTTGTGCTATTATTATTGCTCATTCTGGCCTTCATTGGAAAGCTTTACCCTAACAGCCACACCCTCCCAACTAAACTGGAAGGTAAGGTGAAGCTTGAGCAGTTCTACTCAAATACCCCCCCAAAGTCTATAAAACTGGTCTGGCTTCTGATTAGACCAGGAAAAATCTGCAAGACTTCCATTGGTCAGACTCTATAGGGCGGCGGGCTTAGCAGTCTAAAATTTTAGCAAGCTTCCGTAAAGCTTTTTATTTTAGTGAGAGTTAACCTGGCACTACAGTGACTTATACAATCTAGGACTCCCTTGCCGGTTTGGTTCCTTTGCACACAACAATCTGACCCTGTGACTCTGTATATCCAATCGCTTATAGCATCACTTCCGTCAAGGATATGGTAGGCTATAGGTGGCCTAGACGGTCTTGGCAGGCTTGGCCGTATGACAGGGACGATAGATATTTTCGGTGTACGGCTGGACCCTGCAGTTCTTCAAGTGTTGCTCGTATGATTTGGGATAGTGTCTTACGGCAGCAAGACATGCTATGCTCTCAGAAGAATCTAATACAAAATTTTCTCTACGGGGCCCGGGATCCAATCTCCAACGTTATTCCATGCCGACCTCCTCGACCCATTGCCGCGATAGTAACCGAAAGTATCGGTACAGTCTCTTCCTTAAGCATCATATGAAGTCTATCCCTCATTGCTCACAGCAATAATATCCTCCCTGTTATCAAACAGCAGCATGCCTATATCTAAATGAGCATTGTACTACGCCTAACAAGCAGGTGTCTATCAAACCAATTATCGTATGCATCCTACTTGACAATTCAGTATTATGCAGCAAAGGCTTCAGATACTAAGTGATTGTTGATCTTGTGGCTGGAAATTGCTGTCCATGTGATTGATTCGTTTAAGTTCCAAATTGCCATTAGAACTGCCAGTCTTCTCTCGGTACCAATGTTTGTATTAGACACCCTAGACCAGGCAATCCCTGTAGTTGGCATCCGTAGCAATCGCCTAGCTAGTCGCAACAACAACTTTACTATGAACCCAATCGGGATCTATTCGGGGTTATTGTCGAGTCAAAGACCAGTATGATCTGAATCATCTCATACGATGTACTGGCCGGTATGATCTCACGCCGGTGGCATGGCTAGTATGAACCCGATTATACCGCCATTTGGCCGTATGATAGGCGCGATGACGAGCTGTATTACTTACAGGTATTGATTGCAACATCTAGGATAATGACAATCAATTCTCAGGCGATGTGTCAGCTTATGTCTTAATCATCATATCTCGAAAGACGCTTTAAATTTCTGTTGAAAAAATTGACTCTAAAATTTATAACTCATTTTGACGTACCATTGGCCTGATGCCGAGCTGTATTACTTGCAGGTATTAGTTGCAACATACTTGTCTGAACATCTAAGATGATGACAATCAATTATCAGGAGATGTGTCAGCTTATATCTTAATCATCACATCTCGAAAGACACTTGAAATTGCTATAGAATAGATTAACTCTGTATTATCTAATCCGTTTAAACATGCTAGCGGCAAGCGAAACTTGGCGAGTAAAACGTACTAAAAACAGATCACGATGGCCTCAATGGTAAGCACACGTACATCATGATATGCATAGAGAATTACACTAAAAATCTCGTAATGTCTGATGTTCTGTTCGAATACATGTAATGGAGTGGCGGAAAGGGGATATCTAATGTAGGACTTCGACTATATAAAGCCCTCGTTCCCTTCTCGTTTAACTCACGACGATCAACACCATCCAACAACCACTTGTCTCAGTAATTCCACCGCAACTCGCAATCATAGCATATTTCTCCAAGATGCAGTTTCAGCTCTCTTCGCTACCTATCCTTGCGCTAGTGGCTTCTGTCCACATCGCGCCGGCTGCCGCAGCAAGCCCCGGGCTCTATCTCTGCCAGAACTGGGGCTTCAACGAGCAGCCTAACTACTGCAACCACTACACTGAGCCTTGGGGTAAATGCAGTAAGTGCCTTGGCTCCGTTTTGAGACGGTCAATCGTACCAGACTATGTGCTGAATGGGAATATAGCAACTATCACCGACCGCTTTCCGACTGACGCACGTGGCGTCTCGTCTGCTGGACCTGATCCTGGAAATTGGTGCACGTTGTACGAGTAAGTACTGTAGCGACAGCGCCTCGAGGTGGGAGGCTACAAGACGGCTGCTGACGAGGGCTTAGGAACGAACACTGCACTGGAGCGGAGTTGCAGCTATATTACCCCGGGTTTGCTGACTTGACAGTGGTGGGATGGAATGATCGGGCCAAAAGCTTCAATTGTGCGGCAATTTAGGCAGGGTATCGATGGGGAAAGCTTGGGGCTTGAGAGCACTGGAAGGAAGATCGGGTTGAAAGGGAGGCTGAACTACCTATATGCAAATTTTCTTTGTTATAGATGTCCGCTCTCTGCGCCGTACCTTCTATCATAGGGTGCTCTTCAGCTCCAGGTATGGTTCTCCTCAGACCTTTACTATGATGGGGTTCGAAGCAACTTACACGACGCTCTTGGATGTTAGCTGCGATGGAGTGATTAGGTATTATAGAGAATAAATTTTGCTTTGGATCTTTTGCAGTCAAGTTATGGATCTAACAGTAAGATTGTGTACCCTTTTTAGTAAATATTGCCAGCATTTACAACCTATATTTAGCACTGACCATTCTTGTAGTTATCTCGATATTTAAAACATCTTTACTTTCGTAGGTACTCCTTCTTAACTGCCCTATAGTGCTAGAAGATGCGGTCATGTTTGCCCAAACTCTTCGCAGATGTAATAGCTTTACGAAAAAGCCAGTAGTACCATCTGTTAAAAGTAGTACATATGATCCCATTAGATTATCTAGAAGTCTAAGTTACAATATAGTTATTTAACTAAATAAAGGTCTTATATATAGATTCCTAGTATTTTAATATATAGAACGTAAGTATTACTACCTTCCCTTTTTAATATTTTCTTTCGATCCTTATATTAATTAATACTATAAATCTTAATTAACTTCTTTTAAAGAGTAGCTTCCTTTAAGGTAAGTTATATAGTTATATTAAATAATATAAGGGTAATGTTTTAAAGGATACCTATTAAAATAAAATGGATAAAGTAAAATTCTTTAAAAGTTAAATTATTTATAACTATTAAAATAATAATTAAAAGTAATGTTAAATTTTTTAAAATAGGATATTATAAAGAATAAAAGTTCTATTAATATTACTTTTAAATTATTATTTATAATATAAAGCTTTTAAAATTAGAATATTATAATATATAATAGTTATAATATATTATATATTTATTATTTTATATAAATATAAATATTCTTTTTTCCCCTTTTTATTTTTATATTATTTATATATATTCCTATAATTATTTCCTTTAATAATTAATACTTTTATTAAAGTATAAATTATAAATAGCTTATAATTTATAGCTTTTAAGTTTTTAAAAAGAATATATTACCTATTTTGTATTATATTTTAATTCTTTTTATAAAATAATATATATATTTCTTTTACCTATTTTATTATTAATTTATATTATATTAAATTATTAAACTTATTAATTTTATTTTAAAATAGTTATAAGTTAACCTTTAAAAACCTTATAAGGCTTTTTTAACTTTTATACCTTTTTTTAATTAATTATAAAGGTTATAGTTTTAAATTATTATATACTTTCCTTTTTAACTTTTTTCCTTTATTATAATAATATTAAAAGTATATTAAACTTTATCTTTTACCTTTTATTTAATTAATAAACCTATTATAAGTATAATAAATAAAGCTATTATAATTAAATTGTTTAATTTTATAGCTAATTAAAATTCCTTTAAGGTAACCTTTATTATTATATTATTATATTAATTACTTTTATAATGTTTTAAATATTATTAATATTAAAAAGCTTTAATAAAAGATATAAAATATAAATAAATATATATTTTATTATTTATAAATAAAGCTAATTTAAAGTAATTTTAAAAAGTTAATAGCTTACCGTTATTATATTATTAAAGGTATCTTTTAAAAGTTAGTTTTATTATATTTAAATATATAAATATTTAAAAGATTTAATTTAAGTTAATTAATAATATTTATTATTTTATTTTTTAAAATATTATTTTAAAATACTTTATAATTTTATTTTAAACTTTTTTTAAGTTATTATTAATAATTTTTTTTAAACTTATATTTATTTTATAGCTTAACTTTTAATAATTTAAATTTTATATTTTTAAATTATAAGGATAATTTTTATATTATTTATTATTATTAAAGGATATAATAATAAAAATATTTTAATTTAAATTAATTTTAATATAGGATTTTTATTTAACTTTATATATAAACTATTTTAACTTTATTATTTATTTTAAGCTTAATAATTTTTTAAACTTTTTAAAGGCTAGCTTTAATAATACTTTTATTAGCCTATTTATTATTTAATTAATAGTTAAAATATATTTAAAATTAACTTTTTTAATAATAATTTATTTTTAATACTATTAATTTTAAATTAATATATATTTCCTTTTATTATATAATAATAAGTTATATAAAGTTAAAATTACTTTTTAATTATTATTATAAATAATTATAAATATATTATTTAAATTAATATTTAGTTTAATTAATAGTTTTTATATTTAAATAATTTCTTTAATAATTTAAGTTTACCCTTTTTATTATACTATAATATCCTAAGGCCCCTAGAATATATATACTTTATATATATTATATACCCTTCCTATATATACTTTAAAGGAGATTTTTCCCTTTTTTAAGGTTTAGTTTTATTAAATACCTATTATAAGATTAAAAAGATTTATAACATTATACCTAACCTTTAAAATTTAACCTACCTATAATAATTTTAAAGCTTCCCTTTAAGGTTACCTATAACATTATTAATTATAATATACCTACATATAAATAAATAATTAAAGCTAACGTTCTTTTAGGAAATTTAAATTAAAAAGAGTTTTTAACGATAGCTTAACGCATTTCCCACTTGACCTGGCCACCCCCCTAGCCTATACAAATAACGTCGGTGCGCTAATCACGTGATAATTTAATAACTTCACGAATATTGGTCGTATAAAATAATAAAGTATACCATTAGATTCGTAATAAAGAGAGCTATTTAACAGTACCCTTTATTAGTTTATACGACTTATATCCGCTGAGTTATTAAGCAATACGCTAAAGTAAGCGTTAAATTAATCCTTGCTTAGCGCCCCTTTAACGTATTGCTTAATATCTCGCTTAATAAATTTTATAAAAAATAGTAAAAAATACCATTGGATCTCCCTTTAACTAACGGATCTAAAGGTACTAATTATTAAATCGTACGATTAGTATTTGTAAAGTTATTAAAGATTGAAATAATGGGGTTTTATATAGGTTAAGGGGGTGGCCAGCTCAATTGGGTGGCCAGGTCAAGTGGGAGATACGTTAAGGATAAAGCTAATACAATTTATTTCCGGGAAAATAATAAACTTAAAATTAACTATTAAAATCTTTTAATAACCCTAATCTAATAAACGAAACTAACGTTTAATTATTATAATAAATAAATGCTTAACTTTTAATTAAAATTATAAAGTTAAAGAAAAAACTTCTTAAGGAAAAGAAGGTTGCCCAAAGTTTAAAGGTAACCTATACCCCTTCCAAATTACATTTAAGTAAAAGAAAAGAGAATTTAGAAATATTAAGTTTAAACGAATTAAAGTATTACTTTAACCTTAATAATTTAGGACCCCTAATAATTGATAACGCTATTAGGATTAAAAAAAGGGCAATCTTAATAATAATAACCCCTTATTATCCAGCTTTAATATAAAGTATAATTGGAATAATTATATACGCTAATTATATTTAAATTATATATATTACTATAAATGCTATTCCTTTAAAAAAGTTAATTTAAATTAACTTTTTAAATTTAACTATAACCCCTTTAATATAAAATTTACCTATTTAAAATAATTAAAATAAATAAAAGAATTAAAAACTATATTTTATAGGGTTAATTATAAGTTTAAAATTAATACCCTTAAAATTCTTTATATATATAATAAAATAAATAGGAATTATAAAAATATATATTAAATTATAAAAAGAAGGTTTAAATATATAAAAAGGAAATAAATAAAGTCTAATTAAAATATATTTTTAAATTAAATTAAAACTTTATTATATTAATTATCCTTCCTATAGATTAATATTAATATATAATTTAAAAGAGCTATATAATATATTAATTAAAATTTAAAACTTTTTAATCAATATTTAATTAATATTAAAAGTTAAAACTTAAAATAAAATAAAGGTAAAAAAGCCCTATTATATTATTAAAAATTAAATGGACCCCTATAAAAGGAATTAATAAATTCTTATAACCCTTTATTAAAGATTAGGATTAAAATAATTAATATAGTATAATAATGTTAAAAATTAATAAATAAGGATTAATAAGCTAATTGTAAAAGAAAAAGGTTTAAATTAAAGAATATCTAAACTAATAATAAACTATTTATAAATATAAGCTAAAGTTAAGGTAATAACTAAACTATTAATAATAATAATTATAAAAATAAATATAAAGGATATAATAATAATAGCTATAATAGTAATTCTAATTATAGCTATATTAATAATTATAAAGGTAATAGTAATAATAATAACTATTAAGGTAATAATAATAATTATAGCTATTAAGGAAATAATAATAATAATTATTATTAATATTTTTAAGGTTTTAATTATTAGGAAAACCGTTAATTTAATAACTTTATTTTAAAAAGTTAACCCCCTTTTAAAGCTCCTTTAAATTATTTATAAAGTAATAATGGAAATAAATTAAATTAAGGAAACTATAAAGGAATAATTTATTTTAACTATAATTAATCTAGCTATATTACCCTAAACTATATTTAACCTAAATAAAACTAAAACCCTAATTATATTAGCTATATAATATAAAAATAAACTATTTAAAAAGTTTAAATAAATAAAAAACGGAATAAAGCTAAAAATAAATAATAATCACTATATTATTTTTATACCCCCCTTTTATTAAAATACTATAATCCTTTAAATTATAATAAATAATTGGAAAATAAATTAAAAGTTTAATACTTTTTAAATTAATAAAAGGCATTAGGTTAAATCTATTCCTTTATATATTTCTTATATATTATTTTTATACCCTTTATATAATTTATATATTTAATTTAAAAAAACTACCTTTATAAACTTATATTAACCTAGATTTTTATATTAAATATAATTATATTAACTTTACTTTTATACTTTATTATAAATTAGAAAAGGCTCCTTTTTAAACCCCTTTATTATAATATATTATAAATAGTAGTTTTTTATTATATAAAGCTTATTAGGTTACTTATAAATTAATTAACAATTATAATATTATTTATAAGTTTAAATATATATATATAATTATTAATTATAATTATTGCTTAAAAGGTAATCTTATTTTATTATTTTAAATTACTTTAAAGGATTAAAGAATTATATTAAATTTAAATATAAATTGCTAATTTTTCGAACTTAAG